GCTCATATTTAGCTTACAGTCCATCTGTACTCCAAGATCTTGTTCACACATGCTGCTACCCAGAAGTGTGTTCCCCACCCAGTAGGCTTGCTTCTCATTTTTGTTACCCAGATGTAGAACTCTGCACTTAACTTTGTTGAATTGCACCTTATTTATATCTGCTTGCTTTTCCAGTGTGTTTAGATATCAATGCCATAATCTCAACATATCCATGTCAACTATTATTCAATTAAAATATGCTTGTCGTTGGACTCCTCTTTGATATTTAGACTATTAGTGCCAACCAAGTAATTTTACAGCATTTCATTTAATGCAAGACTTTAAAATTGATTTTTGTCTTACAGAAATTATTTAAGGAGCATTTTAAACTCTTTAGTGATGCCAAATAAGTTTAAAAATTAGGTTTTGATCAGTTTGCTGTACTGCAGGGGTAGCCAAACTTGCTTCATGCAAGAGCCACATAGACTATGTCAGATGTCAGATGCTTGAGAGCCTCAAGGTGACTTTGGAGGAAGAGTTGGGTTTGGGGGAGTGGCCAGAAAGTGACATCACAGGAAGGGGTGGGGTTTCGGTGTAGGATGTGACATCACCAGAAGGGGTGGAGCTTAGGAAGTGACATCACCTGACCTTTGACATGTAAGTGACATCACAGGACATGACATGTAAGTGATATCACATATTTGCTAGGCACTACCCCCAAGTCTCCTGGTTCCACCCCCAGCCCGTGGGTGGTAAAAACAGAAAAACAAAAGTGGTAAAAATAGTTATTTCTTATGATATCTATTATAGTAGAATGGTTTTGTGGGTAGCCGTAAAAAGACACACACACTCCACCACCCCAGGGGCTACAACACAGTTAACCTTATCCCAGAACTTCCCAGGAAAACGTTCCTGTGAAGTGACCACAAATACAGGCGGAGAAGTGGGAAGTACTTGTATTGATCACCACCAGCTGCTTGAGACTATTAAAAGTGACCTTGTCCACAGGCCCTTCCACAGAGACAGAGGTCATACCAAAGCCAGAAAAGCTCCTTACTTGTGGGAGCCCAGCAGGGACACAGATGAGAAGCTGGCAAAAGAAATGAAATGCAGTGGGGAAGCCTCCCTTTTCCAGAACCCTCCCTTTTCCAGAAGCACGAGGACACGGTGGAGCAAAATTAAAGCTGCGAAGCAGGGAAGATGGAGAAAGTCAGGCTGACTCCAGCAAGCAAGGCCTGGGGCTTGTTGCATTCTGCATTTGCTTATTTGTGTCTACGTGTAAAGTTACATCAAGTGGCAGCTGACTTATGGCAACCCTACAGGGTTTTCAAAACAAGAGACTTGCAGGGGCAGTTTGCCATTGCCTGCCTCTGCGTAGCGACCCTGGACCTCTTCAGTGGTCTCCCATCCAAGTACTAACCAGGCCCCTCTGCTCAGCTTCTGAGATCTAATGAGGCTAGCTTGGGACAGCCTATGGAGGCCACGGCCAGCCTGGGCACTCGGCTGCTGCCTTGCTGCCCCAAAAACAGTCCCTGCCAGCCCACCAGCCCCACTGGAGACCCGGGTGCTCTCCACTGCCGCTCCACCCCCAAAAAACACTGCCCACCAGCCTCACTGGAGCCCCAGGCCAGCCATGGCTTCTATAGGCTGGCCAGGGGAAAGCTTCCCAGCCAGCCTATGGAGGCCGCAGGCAGCCTGGGTGCTCTCTGCTGCCCCCCACCTCTCCAAAAACAGTCCCCACCACCCACTCCTGAGCACCCAGGCTGCCCGCTGGCCTGGACACTCTTGGCCACCACCACCCCGAAAACAGTCCCTGCCACCAACACCCAGCCCAACTTACCTTTTGGCAGCGGCATGAAGAAGCAGCACGTGAGGGCTGCTGGGAGCTGGGGGTGGGGCTTAGCTTCCAGTAACCAGCCCCTGGCTTCCTTCCCACCCACCCAACTCTAAGAAAGGCTGGGGAAAATCCTCCTCTTTTAAAGTGGGGGGGGGGACGGACGTGGGGGTTGGCAAGCCTCATGAGCCACTTGAGATGGCTCCAAGAGCCACATGCAGCTTGTGAGCTGCAGTTTGGCCACCCCTGCTCTACTGGATATGAATCTTCAAAACTCTAGAATCAGTTGGAGCATGAAGATAGCCAGTTACATCAAAATATTGCTAATGGTTTGGGGGGTTTTGCTTCCAGCAAGCATGCTGATTAAGACTTATTCTTATTTCAATCCATTAGTTGCACATAGAGTGATATCTTCCTCTTCAGCATTTTTTCATTCCAGAGAGAAGGAACTGATATGAATGGTCCGTGTTTATCACTTAAACTATAGATTTTTATTCATTAATGTACTAGACATCATGTAAAGGTTACCCAATTTTCTTGGCTAACAGGTTAAATGTAGATGTCTCCTTTACTACAAACAACTATCAGATTGCATAGAAAGGTCAGGAAATTCAAGCAAGAAAACAAAAAGAAAAGGGGGGATGGGAGATTATAACTTGGGATATTTGTAGTACACATGGACCAAATTTAGCCTTGGCAAACCTATTGTTACTGTTATTAGTTTCCACCCATAGACATTGTCCAAATTTACTGTCCATTGCCTAGGAAGGAAATACTCAGGGTTGGTTTAATGGAATTAAACAAAATTCAAAGTACTCCAAAATCATTCTTACAGATGTCCCTCTGTACTATGGAGAAGATGCCTTGGTGTGAGGAAATAGTGATTTTTCCTGTGTTGTCAACCATTTTTAGTTCCAGTACAAATAGATCTTGGAAATATGCATAATTATCATTAGCATCCAGATACTAAGATGTTTAAGATTATGTGCCATCATGGCTTTTAATGGATGGTGGTTGTTCTGGTCATATCTGTGTCAGCAAGCTCTGCCACCTTCACTGAACTCCAAAGCAACTTTTTCTTGGAAAAGTTGGTTTCAGCACAAGATACTACTAATGAGGCTTCTAGAAAGGCTCAGGTATGTGTTGGAATATAGCACACGCTTGAGGATATCTGCTTGAGTGTGGCATGTGACTCTGTCATTTGGTACTGCAATGCAGAATTTGTGGATTGAGAATATGAGAAATCCTCTAATGTGGACAACTAGCATGTCAAGGAGGATGGTTCTAGGCTAGCCCTTTATATTGCACAAATGCTTTTCATGGGTGATCACTCAAACATGCTCTTTGATTGTCTCAGTTCCCACTCCTTGTGCTTTTTAAACTTTATAGACAGGCTTTTGATACCACTTCTGTTGGATAATGTTTGCTGTAGTTCATTTGTTAGGAAAGTGGTAGAAGAATATCTTATAACACAAATTTTGACTGTCACTCAACAGCATTGTGAAGATACTACAGATGTAATCCTAAATAGTTGTACACTTCTAAATCCATGGGAGTCAATGGGTTTACAAGGGTGTAATTTTGTTTAGGATTGCATTGTAAATTGGAAATGAACCATAACTATGAATATGTATGCTGAGCTTGCGAACAATTTGTAATATGAACATTAGCTACCAGTGCTATTTAGAAAACATATTGATTCAGAAAACAGTATTCTGAGTAGATTCAAGAGTTCATATATGAAATATAAACATTTTGGAAGGAGGAGAGAATTATGTTATAAGCTTTTTTGGATCCCCACTGGGGAGAAAATCAGAAAATAAACAGCTGAATAAATAAACCTAAATGGAAGGTTTTGCTGCTTAATACTGTCATGAAGTCCTTTCCTATTCTGTATGTTTATGCTATATAGTATCTATATATCTAATATATCTAATAGCCAACATGTCCTCTCTGTGCAGATATCTAATTCCACAAATCTGGGGCCCATGGAGGCTCAACAGAAATTCCTGCACACTTTGAGCACTCCAGGTGTGCAGAAAAATCTGACATGTTTTGAAAAATATATGGGGGATTCTCTACGCATGTGCAGAGAACGTACTTACTGATCCCATGGAACCCAAGGGAAGCCACCACTAAGAACACCAGGAGGAGCTGTTGCAGCTGTGGGGTGGGTGAGGGAGGGGTTGCCAGTGCTGTTGAGGTGGCAAAAAGGCAGCAAAGTGACTGGAAGGCGGAAGATGAAGCCAGTGAGGAGCCAGTAGAGCCGCCAAGGCAGTGAAGCTGGTGGTGGTGGGGGGGACGATTGGCAGGCACCATGGCATGGAAGAGACCCAGCAGCCAGGCAAGCGACCGAGATGGCAAAGTTGCAGGGGAGGGGGGGCTGAACAAGCTGCTGCTAATAGAGAGACAGAAGGTAAGAAAGGGGGTGGGGAGACAGAGACACAGAGAAATGGAAGGAGAGAGGAGGAATAAAAGATGATGGAAATAAGATGGCTGCTCCCGCAAGTTCCAGGGGTCTGCGAAAGCATGGGAGAAAGAGGTGAGGAGGAGGCCTCCGTGAGAACTTAGAACAGCATTGCAGGTCTCCACTTCTATATATGTCTATTTTCCCCACTGTACTCCTACTTAGTAGTAGATAGACCTTTTTCATGTTTTGGTTTCTAGGTTTTGGTTTCTTTAAATGTTTAGAACCAAGACGTGATTGAAAACCAAATTGTTTGTTTGAAAAACAAGTTTGTTTTCTTAACCTCTTTGGACTATTAACATGCAGGGCTCTAGTCGGGGGGGAGCTCTCAGGTACGGAGCTCCGGAAGAGAACCTCTAGGGGGGCGGGGCGGTCACGTGGTGAAGCCCCGCCCCCTTCTTTACCCCGCCCTCTGCTTCGATCCTCATTCCGTTTGGGAATGAGGATGAAGCAGGAGGGTAAGTAGCCGGGCCTTCTGACACACTTCCAGTGATGGCAGGGGGTGTGGCCTTCTGTCACTTCCGGTGATGTCAGGGGGCGTGGCATATGCAAATAAGTTATGCTAATGAGTTATGCTAATGAGCTCCGGCAGCTCTTTTTCTACAACAAGACCCCTGTTAACATGTAATATATACTTGTACCAAGACCATTTGGTAACATCTTATTTTTTAAAAAATAGTAATTGTCTTTTATTTTAACATTTCGATTCCCCCCCCCCAGAACACTTAATTGATGAACTGCAACTGAATATCTTCACACTCTCCCACCGACAGTGTGCCTTTTGAAATGGAACCGAAAGTTTGCAACCTGACATTTGGTTTTCAGAGAAGCTCAACATCTGATGATGACTCTGGCTGTGCCTTGGAAGAATATGCCTGGGTGCCTCCAGGTCTTAGACCTGAGCAGGTAGAAGCATATACTGCCATCTCTTTGAAGCTTATCAGAGACCAGTAATTCTGGGCCTGTATTCACCTCTGACTGATGACTTGTTACAGGAAAATGTAGTCAAGATTGCTTTTGTTTTTGTACCTTTGGTTTTTGTCCTACTGAGATAATGTCCTAAAGAATTCTCTTTTCTGCCTTTAGACAAATGCTAGTATCTGTATTAATGATTATCAGTTACTTTAAAAAAATCACAGCTAGACTGCAAACTCTTAAATGTTTAACTAATGATGGTACTATTTGTATATTAACAAGCATGAAATATTAATGCGTAAGCTAATGTAAGTACAATACAACAGGAAATATTCATGTCTATGTATCTTTGTCTAAGGAAGAAGTTTCATGGCACTTCTGTTGTTTTTTTGTAAAATGGTTACAAAGACATACAAATGCTCCTTTCCGTGTTCTTTCATATGGAGATAGCTATAAATGTAATCTTATTTTTGAAAATCAGTTCCCTACATGGAGCTGTCTGGCATCCCCAGGCTCCCCATCAGTATTTTTATCAATCCCATAACTAGGGCATCTGTTGAGGCCAGTAAAAAGGAACAGTTTTGCAAACTGGTTATTTTTAAGCTTTGAAGCATATTGTAAACATGAGAAAATCAGAACCTCTCTTTACTGAGTTTAAAGGAAGATTGTTTTGTACTGACATCTTACAAATAATTCTGCTAAAAGCAACTGTCCAGGTAGCAGCTTCATAGTTTTGAGCCATGGCTTTTTTAAAAATTGAAAAAAGGACAGTATTCTAAATAAATTTCACTTGCATTAGGTAGAAATGTAGATGTATTCATCTTTTCCCAAAACACCAATCCAAAAAGTTCTTGAAAAGTTTGCATGGAAATAATGAACCTGATCAGGTTAACAAATAGCATTTGGCTCTTCAACCTATAAAATTCATAGAGCAAATCAAGGTTGTCAATATAGCAGTTGTTTTCTGAAGAGCTTCACACATTGTGTGATAAAATGTAGAAAGAAATGTGGAATTTTAACAGACTTGTTGATTGTCCCTGAAGGGGGTGTAAATTTGATGTGCATAATTTATGACACCCCTAATTGTGGCTGCATTCCAGAACAGCAATTCAACAGCTGGGTGCTAGCTATCTCAGACAATCCTGTTCCACTGGCTCATCTGCTTATCTTCTAGCCAGAGGAATGCAAACTCTGCTGAAGATCTGAAGTTAAAAAAAAACAACAACCCCCCTCCCCAAACCTTAGTTCTCTTTGTAAACAAAATCTAAGATAAGGCCAAACCAAAAAATGTGTAATGCCTTCTGTTAAGATCAATCAAAATATTGCAAAACAGTGACCAGGCTCACTCTTTATCAGGCTAGAAATAAGGTAACAGATGAATAATTCTTACAATGGAGGGGTTGACTTTATTTCTGTTCTCCATTTCAGGTACAGCTATACTTTGCCTGTTTGTCAGAGGAGAAGGTCCCTTATGTTAACAGTCCTGGAGAGAAACACAGAATTAAACAGCTTCTTTATCAGCTACCACCCCATGATAATGAAGTAAGAAATTTGCTCATACACATTTTGCCCGGCTAAATAACTTATTGTATGTACAACAGGCAATATGGTTTCTCAGATTATGGCAGTAGTTCCCAAACTGTTTGCTGTGAACGAACTGGCAGTGTGTCAGAAAGACTTAGATTTCTAAAAAGTTTTGTATGACCTCAAAGTAGCCTGTGCACAGATTAATCTGTTTGCTGAACAGATGAATGATTCCCTAATCTGGTCTCCCAATCAATCTCATGTGGGGAAATATAATTTTGCTGCACCTCTGCATTAGGTATGAGTGAACAATCCAGGCACTCCTGATACAGATGTGGAGAACAAATATCTGTTCTGGGAGGAAAAGGCATGCTGAGTAACTCATACAGAAGCACAGTGGGTGTGCTCTCAGAGGCAGGTAGTTCCTTACTCTTACATATTCTTAAACCAGCCTGTGGTGTAGTGGTTACAGTGTTGGACTAGGATCTGGGAGACCCAGATTTGAATCCCCATTCTGCCATGAAGGCTTTCTGGGTGACCTGGAGTTAATCACACAAATAACCTAATTTACCTCACAGGATGGCACTGAGAATAAAATAGACAAGAGGAGAATGATGTAACGATGTGTCCCAATCAGGGGGAAAGGTGTAGTATAAGTTAAATACATTAAGATAAGTAAGGGCAGTCTGGGAAAACATTAATTCATCATATTACAAGCATGTGAATTGGTGCAATGTATCCAGGCAGGCTTTAGAGTATGTGAGAAAATAATCTACTCCTACAACTCCCTATTTGTAGGGAATCCCCTCATTATTACATACTATGCACATTTATTTTTAACAGACTGGAAGGAGTTCTGTGTTTAATCTAGGTTGTGTTAATATATATATATATGAGAAAACAAAGTGATAGTATATAGGGGATACAGAAAGGAAAAAAGGGATTGTATAACATAATTGTGTAGATCAGAAATAACTATATACAAGAGTATATAAAACAGAAAATATTTCTCCCCAGCATCCCCATCATTATACTTTTTAAGACTGTGTCTATAAAATACAATGGTACTTATTTGTGCTGGGGTACATTTATATTCAACATTTTGGGTTCCAAATTTTAAACTAATTTATTTTGCCACCTACATTATTGGTTTCATCATTACTACATATTCAATAATATTATATATTTTGCCACTCCTACATACTTGCTATAACTTTTAGTAAATAGGTAATGTATCAAAGTACAAAAGGAAGGTCTATTATATATCCCATAATAAGAAAATAAAGATGTTTCTGATCAAAATCGACTTCCTTATATAGTTATATTCAGGATGTTACATTTAAAACTTATTCTACATTGCAAAGCATTTATGTACAATTTTATGAACTGCTTCTCATTCTAAATTTGGCTTCCCCTTGCATACTATACATGCCATCTCTCCTCATATTTCATGATTGATCTGTTTCTCAAATAAGTTGTTAATTTCAGCAAGTTTATTTTCCCATTCTTCTAAGCTTGATCTGTAATTGCAAAACTGCATGCAGATCTGAGTCCTTTAACATGTGTCTGCTGCTAGTGATTTCCTTTATGCAGTTTTCACTGCCAAAGTTATGCTTTCAACACTGATGAAAATATCAGTTAAAGCTGGATGCATGTGCTGTTTCTGTTGCATGCATGTGTTTGCTGCACTGACAGGGTTGTGGGTTTTTTTTTGAAAAAACGAGTTCACCGGACACGAGTGTCTAACATTGGCATCTCTTTCTTTTGCTGAAGATTAGATATTGTCAGTCTTTAAGTGAAGAAGAAAAGAAAGAACTTCAGATATTTAGTTCACGGCGTAAGAAGGAAGCACTGGGACGAGGCACAGTCAAACTACTCTCAAGAGCAGTAATGCATACACTTTGTGAACAGGTAAAATTCTTATTACCCAAATGAAATCAATATTGGCATATAATCCAGGATTCTTACAACTACTTTAAAATCAAAGTTAATGGTCTGCTACTGTTTGAGTAAAGTAGTAATGGTCATTCCTGCCTAAAAGTATGATCTTCAGCTGTTTTAGATTAGAAAAATGGTCATACCATACATAGCTGTGTTACTGAAAGCAAGCCTCTCCTAAAAAATGTTAAGGTAAAATATCAAGATGGAATATGCTGATAGATTGTGATACTTGAAAGACATATTAAAAAGATTAGGAGGATAATGAAGATTGTACTGTAGAATATATTTATAAAATGGAAACTATATTTCAATTATCACTTACTTTCAGTGTGGTACAAAAATAAATGGAGGTGAAGTTGCAGTGTTTGCGTCAAGAGCAGGACCTGGAGTGTGCTGGCATCCGTCCTGTTTTGTGTGTTCTACGTGCAATGAACTTCTTGTTGACCTAATCTACTTCTACCATGATGGAAAAATTCATTGTGGTAGACACCATGCTGAACTTCTCAAGCCACGCTGTTCAGCATGTGATGAGGTAAGGAATCCTGCAGTTCAACAATACTTAAACTAGAGAAAGAAACAAATGTTGTTGCTTGCTCAGTTAAGCAACTTAGTTTTTGAAGACTTCTAGAAACCAAGGTTCATGTGGCTTTGTTTCTTGCGAATTAAATATTCTAACAGTAAACAGAAAGAAAATTCTAAACAAGCTATTGTCTAAAATCTTTTTTTTTTTTTAGATTATCTTTGCTGATGAATGTACAGAAGCAGAAGGTCGCCATTGGCATATGAAACATTTTTGTTGCCTTGAGTGTGAAACCATCCTTGGAGGACAGAGATATATTATGAAGGATGGACGTCCATTCTGCTGTGGCTGTTTTGAGTCCCTTTATGCAGAGTATTGTGAGACTTGCGGGGAACACATAGGTAATTCTGTACCTTAAAACATAAAAATGTTTACAGTACAAAGTGGCCTAGTTGGTCAAGCTTAAAAACAGCTTGACTTCAATAAGTCAAAGATGTATAAAATTGCACACATAACCATTATATATAACTAGGAATAAGGCCCGTTGTGGAAATAAATACAACGAACTCTAGAAAGAGGCTCTGGGCAGATGCCCTGGCCTTGGGCACTCAGCGTCAATTTGCTGTGGTGACCAGCAGGGTATAATGACACAGAGCTTACCGTTTTCTCCAGGGGAACTGCTCTCTACCATCTGAAGAACAGTTGTAATTCTGAGTGATCTCCAGCCCTCTCCTGGAGATTGGCAACAATGAATCCCCACGAGGGAATGGCTGGTTTGAAGGGTGGCATCTATGGCATTGTACCTGTCTGTGGTCCCACCCCTCCTCAAAGCCCACCCTCTCCATGCAGCCATGTGAGTTTACATGTGCATGTGTATAAGTTGGGGGCTACTGTCAGGAGCTATATACAGGGATCATATCACCCAAGTGCTGATAGATCAGTTTCTGGGCAAATTCAAAGTGCTGGGTTTTATGACTAAGGCCATAACAGGTTTGAGGCCGGGGTGCTTGAAGGACTATTTCCTCTTGTACCATTCATCCTGCCAGTGGAAATCTTCCTCAAAAGACCTGCTCTCTGTGCCTCTGGTCTTCAGTGAGGAGGAAGGTCTCTACCAGAGACTGAGTCTTTTCAGTTGTGGCACCTCACCTTTGGAATGAACACCCCTTGTTTGGCACCTCCTCTACTATCTTCTAGGCACCAGGCCAAAGCATTTTTTTACTCAGTCTTGGGTTGTTGTTTTTTTTACAGTCTGTCTGTGGATTGTTAAAACGATTACTTTAGCTGCATAATGTTTTATACATCTAGGTTTTCATATGCTTTTTAAATGGTTCATAATTTTAATGAGATTATGTTTTATGATTTTACCTTTTATTTTGTGAGCTGCCTCAAGCAGGTCTCTGAAGAGGTGGCATATAAATGTTTTAAGTGAAATAAATAGGTCCACACAGACTGTAAGGTAATATATTGTAGATTCAGTGCTTCTGACATCAGCATGACAATACTTAAAGAAATCCAGGGAATAGATACCAATTAAACTTACACAAGAAGTAATTGTCCCTCTCTTCTTGACAGGGGTTGATCATGCTCAGATGACTTATGATGGACAGCACTGGCATGCCACAGAAACTTGCTTTTCATGTGCTCACTGCAAAATTTCCCTACTTGGCTCTCCTTTCCTTCCCAAGCAAGGACAGATTTATTGTTCCAAATCATGCAGTCTGGGAGAAGATGTTCATGCCTCTGACTCTTCTGACTCTGCTTTCCAATCTGCCCGCTCAAGGGACTCCAGGAGGAGTGTTCGTATGGGGAAAAGCAGTCGGTCAGCAGATCAGTGCAGACAGTCCCTTCTCCTGTCTCCAGCTCTGAATTACAAATTCCCTGGCCTCTCAAGCACAGCGGATGATACCCTTTCAAGGAAATTGGATGACTTAAGCCTTTCAAGGCAAGGAATGGGCTTTGTTGATGAAGACCTCTGGAAAGGAAGGGAGGAGCAAGAAATTCCAGATGATCCTGAAGAATGGGCTGAACATGAAGACTATATGACTCAGCTGCTCCTAAAGTTTGGTGATAAAGGTCTCTTACAGCAGCCAGTGGAAGTAAATGTTAGAGCAAATGAACAATGGGTTTCTGAAAGCATGGTTAAAGGAAGATCTGAGTTGAAGAAAAATAGCCAAAGCCTAGCAAGTAAGAAATACCAATCAGATATGTACTGGGCCCAATCCCAAGATGGCTTAGGGGACTCTGCTTATGGGAGCCATCCAGGCCCTGCTAGCAGCAGGAAAATCCAAGAGCTGGACATAGAACACAGTGCAACTAGGTATAAGTGTGACCAAAAGCAATGGTATGATAATTCACTAGAACATTTACCAGACCTGAAACAGGAGCAGTGTGTTAGAGATTCAATGGATTCACTGGCTTTGTCCAATATTACAGGTGAGATGACTTTGTTAATTTGGAACTATGGTCTAGTCTACGCCTAGTTTTAATGGTAATAGATGAGCTATTGAGTTTTTTCTACGAAGAGTATTAGAAGTTATGCTTGATTCCTATTGCATTAGCTGTGCTGGAATCCCACTCAAGGGATAAAGAGAATATCTGAGGATTACCAAAGTATCTATCAGCAGTGGCCAGATACATATTGGTCTCTCCTCTTTTTTATGTAAATCAGTTGTGCAGAAGAATAGCAGGGAATACAGACAGCTTGTAGGAAGAAGTTGCTGTGTGTAATGTTGTCTTGTCCTTTGTTTTAGCTGGTCTCTCAAATATGTGGTGGTAAAGGGACTGATTATTGATTATGTGGACCTAAATATAAAAATATGAAAATGGAATTGTCACGGCTCAGGTGGGGTGTCACCTGACGCTGCCACCACTCTGGATTTAGGATCCCTTGAGAAGGCCCAGAGCACCCTCCCAAGACCTTCAGACCTCCCTTTTGGCCAAATAATAGGCGTGAGGACCAGGCAGAGTAAACAACAAGGAAAAGGTTTATTTTATAGAAGGTCAAACAAACAAGGTGCAGGAATAATAACAGTAAGTGGGTTAAAAGAAAAGAAACCAAATGCCCTAATGCGTCTAAACTTATTGTCCCTGGCTCACTGTCTCAAGTGGGCCTCAGTCTGTTCACTCTACCTCTCAGGATGAGGGTCTCTTCCCTGCAGCAGCCTTCCTTCTGGCTCTGCCCTCTTGGAAGAAAGAACAGCTTTTCCTTTCGCACCAGTTCTTTTATTCCCCAGCCCTCTTCTTCCCTATAGGCCAAAATCAGCGCCAAAACTTCCCAAGGCCTTCTGAGGTTTGTAGGCTTAGCCTCCCCTACTGCTAGCCAGGCTCCCTGGGCCTACTAGGCCTCTGGTGGCACAGCCCAGATCATGACAGGAGTGGAAGTTCCAAATATTTTCCCCCAGTAATTGTAAGGGATCATTACTTGGCAATAACTGATTGATCTGTCAGTGTCCTATACTTAACTCTTCTCTAGAATCGGAACTTGAATTTCTACTTCAGCTACAATTTTTTAAAGAACCTTGTATATTTCTTCAGTGCTTGACTGTTAGCACTTCAAATGTGGAAGATAGGAGAAAGAACACATTAATTATATTTCTTAACATTTTCCCCTTAGCTGCTTCTGTAGATGGAGAAGTCACAGCAAGACCATCTTTGTATTCTTTGCAAACATACCAAGAGCTGGAAGTAGACGATTGTGAGAAAATGAGTAACATGGGAACCCTGAATTCCTCAATGCTTCACAGGAGTACAGAGTCTCTAAAAAGTTTAAGTTCTGAATTATGTCAAGGCAAGGCACTGCCGGATGAAAAGCCAATACATATGCCAGTTCTCAGAAGATCCAAATCACAGACTAGACCTCACCAGGTTAAGTTTTCAGATGATGTCATTGATAATGGAAACTATGAGAACCTTGAAATTCGCCAGCCTCCGATGAGTGAAAGGACTCGACGGCGAGTTTACCAGTTTGAAGACCTTGGAACTAGACAGCAACATCGGCGCAGGAAGAGTAGAAAGTCTAGGTCTGATAATGCACTTCACTTGGCTGCAGAAAGAAAACCCTTGCCAAAGGAAAGACTTAATTTTTATTCTCCGCAGGATTATAATAAATTCATTCATAATAAAAGTCCTCATGCTATGCGGGCATACACTCCAAACCCATACAGCCAGTACAGCCATATTTCTCCATATGCAGTGGGGAACCATCAAGACCAGTTTTTTGGATTCTTTGGTGATGAGGAAGACTCCTGGTGTTCATCATCATCATCATCATCATCTGATTCAGAAGAGGAAGGTTACTTTTTAGGACAGCCCATTCCCCAGCCCCGATCAGTGAGATATCCCTATTATACAGATGATCTTTCTAGTCCAACTGCTGAACTTCCCAGTTCTCCATTTGGACAAAGAGCAACATCCAAAAAGCGAAAAGCACACAAAGGCAAAAACTGCATAATTTCTTAAGCTTTACTAGTAACTATGAGCTATGTGCCTAGGCTGTTTTAAATATTATATAGATAAATAGCTTAAATTACTTTGTGTGAAACTACAGTCACACAAGCCCCCCCCCCCCATCTTCAGTCAAGGTGCTGAATAATCTAACAAGTAGAGGGCTGCAATAACATAAGAGCAAACTGAAAATAGGTTTTATGATCCTGCTGAGGTATATTCTTTTGGGGCTATACCAACAAACAGAGAAACTGGGTTCTAAGTAGCTTTTTTGGGTTGGATTATGCTAAAATCCAAGGAAAATGCAATGTTGTTTAGACCTCATCTGCTTCTTCAGTTGCCTGTTTAAGTCAAACAAGAAAAAAAAAGAATGTCTGAACAGTATTTTTACCCCTCTTCGTTCAGCTACTCACCAACTATATTAATGTAGCCCAACCAATTTTGATTCTATACAAGAATTTTGTTTCAATGTAAGTCAATAATAGATGCCAGAATTGAGCCAATTTAGTCCATTTCATTTTCTAAGTTATCATTCTGACAACTTTTTACATAAAATGTATTTTGTCCTTCAGCAGCTACTTAAATGTGGTGTGTAACTTAATTGCATTAAGTCAGTGAGCCAGCTTATACAGAAATATTGTGAAATCAGGTCTGAGATTCCTGTATATTTCCAATTCTGGTTTCCAATGTAGTAGGAGCAGCAATTAGGTATAACTGATATTTATAAAATATTTCATAACTTATCAGTGCAAATAATGTACATATTGTAAAGTTAAAATTTAACAAACTATTTTTATATCCCTGAATTGCAAGACATTTGTTAAAATTCAAAAGTAGTTTTATTTGAGGGTTTAACATCGGCTTGAGTCAGTCAGGGTTTGTTAAATGTCCGTAAATTTATATTAGCGAAATGTTTAATTTTTCTGACACTAAAGCTCTGTATGCATGGTAGAGCTATGTAAATATTGTTTAAGCTATGGTCCTTTTAAGCATTAAAGGCATTATTTATGGGTCAAGAAAACTATATTGTAAAAATGTAAAAAACTACACCAATTTGGAATATATAAATCCACCAAAAACAGACAATCTGATGTTACTGTTTCTCTATGGTAGGCAATATACAAAGGATATTTGAGATTGAGTGTTTCAATAGCTACATCATAATGCAATACTGTATTCAAAATTTCATTTTCAGTCCTTTCCCCAAAATGCTCTAAGCTTGGAACCTGTTCAACCCTCCATCATGGAGAAGGTTCTTTAAGGCCTTGTTGGTATGTAGGTGAAGCTGGTATTTGTAAAACTCTGCTTCTGCCTTGCTTTACAGTGACTGAAATTCAGTTAGTCTTTTGCAGGCTTTTAGAGACAGCCTAAACATTTCATGCACTCTGTTGAAGTTTTTACTATTTTGAATGTTACCAGCTCTGAATACGTATTTATTTAAAACACTTCTATCCTGCCTTATCTCCTCAGACTCAAGTTGTCAAATATGGCATGTAGAAATATTGATCAGAGGTTAGATATGACCAATATGGCAAAAATCACCCCCTTACATTTATATATTACTTCTGTTTTTATGTTAAACTACCCAGCTTATTATCTGAAATGTACACCTTGCCTTACTGCCTATTTGCATGGAAGAAAGCTATGGTTCACTACAGAAATATCAACTTTAGATCAATTAGATGCAACTTTAAGGAGTCTCCATAGTTCATCACATTTGAACTCCACAATTGTGGCAGCAGTGCTTCCATATGTATAGGAGTAGGTCTATTTACTATTCAAGATCCACAGGGGTCCCCAACCTTTTTGGGCGGGTGGGCACATTTGGAATTCTGACACAATGTGGTGGATGCAGTCACAAAATGGCTGCCACAGCAATGTTTTTAAAAATCTGTACAACTAATCAAATTTCCAGTAGCCAAACAGAATCCTTGTGGGGCAAATGTCCCACCCATTTTCTATAAACACTTGGTGCTGGGGACCCCTACTCTAACATACGTTAGACACCAAAGACAAATGTTCTCTGTTTCAGCATTATAGACAATTCAAAGTACTTCATACACATTATGCTGCTATAATCCTTACAGCAAGCTTTCAGGGCAGTGATATACAGCATAAGTCAAATGGCTTACAGCAGAGACAACAACTGAAGCACAGTCTTCGTTAATATGCTATACTACTTACCTGCTCTGCTGCCCATACAAGATCACTTCAGGATGGTTGCATGTATGCACAATGAAACAATTCCTATGATTCACAGTGTATGGTATTTTCCCTAACTGATGCTTACAAACACACTTGAATTACAGTAGCTTTTTAATAAATTTCTTTTTCTTAGTTCTTTGAAACCATAGCCATTTGTCAGGACCCACAGCGACAATGAAGTACACACTTGCAGGAAGGTTTTACTTTATTTGAAGCTATAGATGCATGGACAGGAACACTGTTAGGAATGACAGGTAAACTATGCGCATGGAAGGTTATAGTACATTCATATCAGCAACATCCAATTACTATGGTTCCCGCGCGTGCCATGAGGCTTGAGAACCAACTGCTACCCAAAGCAAAACAGGTACGAGCTTCCCACGGCTCATCCTGACTAAAGCCAAAGCAATAACCCCAGCGACTCCTCCAGCGGCCTTGAAAGATACTCCTAAGCTAAGCGCAGGAGAAGGAATGCGCATGAAAAGGGAAACAAAAGAAATACTTGACAGCTTGCTGACACCATTCTATTTTTAAATGACTATACAAATACTTAAATGAAAAGCCAAAAGACATAGTACGCATTGTCTTCCACTGCTTTATGTTGTTTGTTGGATTCAAGAAATTGTCTCTTGTAGCAAAATGCAAATTGTGAAACACCTTTATGAAGTTTCTACAGCCCCCTGCCAAGGATTGAGGGACTCTTGGGAACGGAAAGGGACACAGGCTGTTACGCAATGATTTCTAATTCCTTCCCCCAGTGCAGCCTCCTATAGGATATCCCATGTCTTTCTTAAGAACAGGATTGCCCTGACTGACAAGAGTAGCTTTTGGGGGGTGGAGATGGATGGGGGGGGAAAAAGTGGTAGCGATCAGTTCCACAAATTACATTTAATTTTCTCACCTTACTTAGGTAACTAAGAACATAAGAGACGCCAATGTTGGATCAGGCCAAAGGCCCATCCAGTCCAACACTCTATCACACAGTGGCCAGAAATACCAGTGCCATCAGGAGGTCCACCAGTGGGGCCAGGACATTAGAAGCCCTCCCACTGTTGACCCCCCCAAGCACCAAGAAGACAGAGCATCACTTGCCCCAGAGCCCCTATCTATACCTTGTGGCTAATAGCCACTGTTGGACCTCTGCTCCATATGCTTATCTAATTCCCTTTTGAAGCCGTCCATGCTTGTAGCCGCCACTACTTCCTGTGGCAGTGAATTCCATGTGTTAATCACTCTTTGGGTGAAGAAGTACTTCCTTTTAGCTCTACAGGATCTCAATCAAGAAAATGCAAGTACTGTAAGGTTGTTTTGGAAGGTTTTTTTTAATTATAGGCCATTTCAATTACAAAAAGCAGTAACTAAAATAAAACTAGATTGAGACTCTTCAACAATTGTTTACTCAAAGTTACAACACAACTTGGAAAGGTATTCTGCTTAAGACATCCACAGGTAAAATATACATATAATACATAAACTTGCACAATTACTTTCTGCAGACAGTGGTAATAAAAATTACTGAACTGTCATTCTCTCTCACCAGGACTGTATTCAGTCATTACACTGTTTCAGTAATTGGGGAATGACACTTAAAGCATGTTTAAAAGGAACACCATATCAAAGTTACATATTCAATACTGCTTAAATATGATGGGATGGAACCAAAGGGCTTCTTGGTCAAAAAGGCACATTTGCTTCCAACAAAGGGGAGGAGGTTCCTATTTTCCACAGATTTCCACTTAGCTGTAGCTCTTCTATAACACACCCCACTGCATTCCTGAAGGTCCTTTACCTTGGGGAAAGGGGCAGAAACTACAGAAGGAACTCCTGTTCCAATCATATGACCCACTCCTATTTATTTCCAATTTACAAAATCAGACTGAGATACAAAAGTGAATAATGAATTGGTTGCACCTTGGCAAAGGGATTATATTAACTTTGACCAAAAGGAAAGTTCTGCTGTAGATGTTGTGAAGTCATGAACATTTGTTACCTTTAAACAAATAGTATTTACAAAATATCAACAATCCAGACTTGATTTTACTGTTCTTCAAATTCTTGACTGTTTGAATCATAATCTGCAATGAAGTGTTTAAGTTCATCAATACACCTCTCACCAATCTCATGCAAGTTTTGCCTCAAGGAAAACTGGATGGGTTTTTCTAATGAAGGGTCTTTATCAATCAGCATCTTCACTACAAGGCCAAATGTTTCACAATCTTGCCTGTAGACCTAAAAAACAAATTTAGAAGTTCATGAAATACAACTTTAGTTCGTACACTTAACTCCATTCCAGATTGAATTGTAACAGATTTAAAGGCTATGGCAGCCTGCCTAACCAGACCAAAGCACACACAACTGCTTAAAAATGGAGATGCTAGGATTTGCCACTGTCAGTCCTCACCCATGTTCCTACAGGTGGGAGATTATGACTACAGGGCTCTTAAAGGGTTGCCAGGTCTGACTCAGGGAATATCTGGGATCTTTGGGGGTGGAGCCAGGAGTAAGGATGTGACATCACTTTTATGATGTCACTTCCCAAGCACCACCCCTTCCAATGATGTCACTACAAAAACACTGTACCAAACCCCCACCCATTCTTGTGATGTCACTGAGGGCATTGCCCCAAACCCACCTCTTCCTCTGAAGTCACTTCCTTCTTGTAGAATTCAAATTTAAATACACGGCCATATATCACTTCCTACCCTCACCTTTTCAAACTAGCCAAAAATTGCAGAGTCATCATTTGCACCCATGCATCAAACATAACCACATGATACACAGTAACAAAAATATGCTTTGTGTTGAAATTATGGCTGAAAACAAAGGGCATAAATGGCTTTTTGATTTTTGAAAAGTAGTAGAAAAAAATCTGCTAATGCATTCCAGTCAGCAAACTGCTATATCCATTACATATTTTCATGCTTTCTGGGTTGTGGTGGAACCCTATACTGTTCCATTGTCACATGGTAAAAAGATACAAGAAAGTGGCTCCCATGCTGTTCAGGTATGACACAAGCATATAGAACCTTTAATGTGTTGGGCCACCTTTAACTTTGAGAGTGAACTTTTCATGGGCTTAGTTCAGATCCAAAACCAGGGTTAGCTTAGGAAAACAGGCTTTGGTTTAGGCTTACAGATGATCACCCAGATCCTGGTTTACCTTAAAAAATGGTGGTTTCACCTTTACTCTAGCCAGGCATCTCTATGTTCAGGGATGAGTAAAAGCAGTGCTAAGAAACCAGAGCAGGTTAAGTCAGCATGGCTTCATTCATACATTGCACAAAACCATACCTAAGACTAACTTTGGTTTAGTTATCCAACTTCAAACTATGGTTTCAAATCCTGGTTTGAGGGACCCTAATTAACCAGTAGAGTGGCCCGCATTCAGTTAGGCACACTAATCAAAAGTTTAATTAAATCATGGCCTCATGTTATGTTTGAATTGAGCCACGGTAATTTTGAAGGACATTGCAAAATACTCCTAAATGCTCCAATGGCAGAATCTATCAGAAAACATCTGCGTGAGCCCAATAGGAATGAAGCAGAGAGGTATAGAGGAATTTTTGTGCATCTCCGGCTTCCTTCTGAAGTGATCTGCTCAGGAGAGTATCCTTGTAGATTGTACCAAGTCTGTACCACAAAATTACGCTAGCTCACTTGGTATCTGTCCTACCCACCTGCTCAGCACATGGTCCACCACTGGCCACACTGGCACAGCACTCCTTCTCCTCTGACCTCCTCCTACCTCAAATTCCAATCCCAATTTCCCAAATCCTGGTGGTGACGGCAGTCCGACTTGGTCATTGGGGCCCTTGGTGGCAGTGCCTCAGTCAGTGGTGCAGCTGCTCAAAAAGGCAACAGCAGCACCCAGTCCTCCATAACCTGGTTGGTGGTGAAATGCGGGCTGCTGGGAGTGTGGGGGCATATTTACAGGCTAAGCCTAAACAGGAGGGTGGGGTGCCCACTTGGACTCCTAAAAAGCTGTGCTCTCAGTGCCCTAGCAGGAAGACCCCAACGTGTGAAAGGCAGCTCTGCAGAATCCTCCAGCAGATGGCGCTCTAGCCTTCCACTCTATGGTAACCATAGAGACTAGGAGGAAAGAGCTACAGTGTCACCGCTGGTGCCATTTCCCCTCCCGCTGCCCTATCTTTACAAATCAGGGAAGAGATCCTCACGGTGGGGACCCCCCACCAGGGGGCTGGCAACCCTAGGCTCGTGACCAGCATAGCTCCTTGTCCTCTTCCAGGTCTTCTTCCTGACATCTAACATGTTTATATTGTAACTAGAACAGAGGCAAATGTGATTTTTATTTCATAAGTACAGTATTTGAATTTAGCACAAATTACTAGTGCAAGCTGAACAGAAGGTATCCTAAGATCAAGCATTAAGTTGAAATAGTATTTCAAGTCCAACTCACAGTCCAAAAAACAAAATGACAATATAAAACCCATAAATGCCACTAAACAAGCTGCATCCTATTTATCCAAGTATATAATGTAAATACATTTTTAAAAGTCAGCCAACAAAGACCTTTTAAAATTAATGTGTTTTTATATTTCAGAAGGTAGCATGAGAACTCTGGTATTTATTTTCATTTAGGTACCGAAGATGTTAGGAGAACAAACAAGAACCCTTCCTGTGATCTAAAAATGCAACATAGCTGTATAAATGCTTTATAGCTGCAAGAGCCACTTTGCATAGTGATTAAATTGTTGGATCAGGGTATGGGAGACACAGGTTCAAATCCCACTCTGCCCTGGGCCACTCTAACACTCAGCCTGACCTTCCTCACAGGGTTGTTGCAAGGAAAAAAACAGAGGAGGGGTGAATAAGAGCTACTCTGGGTCCCCACTGAGAAGAAAAGTGGGGTATAAACAGCAAAAATATTTTCCGAGGCAAGAAAACTCAGGAACATACTTAGCAGCACACATCCATTGATGGAGATAGCCTATATTTAGACTTGTACAGAATTTGTGCTGCCTGTTTACTAAGCAGTATACCTAACTTTATTTAATAGTGTTCATTCCAAAGTAAGCATGAAAAGGATCATGGCTTTACACAGTGAGACTTGTTTCTGTGTGAGTAAGCATGCATAGGATTGTACTGTTAGACTGCAAATGACTACATGTAAACATGGAATATTTTCTGTCACTAACTTTATTTAATAACTATTCCTTTTACTATTTCCTTTCATAAGAACATAAGAGATGCCAATGTTGGATCAGGCCAAAGGCCCATCCAATCCAACATTCTGTATCCCACAGTGGCCAGAAATACCAGTGCCATCAGGAGGTCCACCAGTGGGGCCAGGACATTAGAAGCCCTCCCACTGTTGACCCCCCCCCCCAAGCACCAAGATGACAGAGCATCACTTGCCCCAGAGTCCCTATCTATACCTTGTGGCTAATAGCCACTGATGGACCTCTGCTCCATATGCTTATCTAATTCCCTTTTGAAGCCGTCCATGCTTGTAGCCGCCACCACTTCCTGTGGCAGTGAATTCCAAGTGTTAATCACTCTTTGGGTGAAGAAGTACTTCCTTTTATCCGTTCTAACCCGACCGCTCAGCAATTTCATGGAGTGCCCACGGGTTCTTGTATTGTGAGAAAAGGAGAAAAGTACTTTCAGCATTCCAATACTCAGCTCTAGCAAATTGGGTGGAGGGAATCTATAAAGATATTTAGCAACACAGCCCTAATACTCTTATCTGTCTGGAAAAGTTGTGGAGAATTCTTGTATTCAAAACTAATACTCTATTATCCTGTTTGAGACATTAGAGATAATAAAGCAATGGAGTAATAATATATTCAAACAATACCCAGTGGTCATAATGGAACAGATATGTAGCCCCTATGAAAGGGCTGCTATACTGTTGAATATTTCTGGGCTGGATCCAAAGCACTGCCAATAGAGTGAAGCTGGTGGAGCAGGACCTTCCTGCCTCCCCCTTCCTTCTGCAGCTTACTGAACCCTGTCCAGATGTACTCCTGGGGTTTGGGATCCTCAGGAATAGTGGGAGGCCAAAGGACGAGATCTTTCTATGGAAGGGGGAATCAATAAAATATGCCCTCCTCTCCTCCATCACTGGAGGATCAATTCTACAGATCTGACTACCTGAGATTGAAACGGTGATCTAGAATAACAACACATCAACAGCAATAGTCCCTCTAAGCTGTGGAGTCTTGTGAGCAAAAGTTCTACTTTGTGAGCTACTGGCATTAAAGTTTTTAGCAAACAATTAGGCTACTGCACAAATTAGTTTGCTCTGGAGCCATTCTTTCTAAGCTAAGACAAAAATGTGTGAGCCAGAGGCTAAAAAACTGTGAGCTAGCTCACACTCAGCTTAGAGGGAACACTGATCAGCAGTAAACAGCTAGTTTCCACGCAAGCAACTAGAAACAAAGATGCCATTCTTTTGATTATTAAGTTTCTGTTTCAAAATTCTATTATTGTTGTTCTGTACATAATACAGTTTAACATGGTGATAACTTAGCTTTTTTTGGTAGTACAGTAAAAAATTGCTGGGTGAATCCAGCCACATCCAAAATGCACTAAAAATACTGCAACTCCAGAAAACAATCCAGAAGGGAAAGCACACAGCCTCAAGGCAGAACAGCAAACTCAAAGGTATCAATGCATGGTCTCAGCAAATGATTGTGCCAAAGACTCAGACTGCCTCCAGAATAATTGTACTGTGCATTGTTTTCTTGGAAAAACTGTACCTGCTTGTACTTAATTCCAAAAAAACTAAAAAATACAAACAGCTTTACCCAAAGCATTTCCAAATACTTCAATACTAACTAAGAAGTAATCTACTTTTCATTAGAGGAAGGGCACACCCTTCAATAAGTTATTTATAAAGTGCGGAACCAACCCAAATCTGTTTCCTAAACCTGTTCCATAGTAAATTCGATGCCCTGTCAAAAACAGGAAGGGTGTAGTTTATCTACAAAAACTGTTTGCTTAGTATTGAGTTGTTAGTTAGAATGCATTAATAATTCCGATTTTATGTTTATATACCCACACAGGAAGGAATTTTCAGACAGACATAGTCTGTAGAGGGCATGGGTTAAAAACAGGTGGAGTTCACGAGGCTGCTTGGAAACAAAGTGACACATTTTTAGCAAGGATGGGGGAACATAATTTGCAATTCAAAACAGATAACCTTTGCAACAAAGCAATGTAATAAAGTTCTGGGTCTACAAACACATCACACCAAACTAAATTGA